GGGCTATGATGGGGCCCTTAAAGAAATGTTCCTCACTTGGCAAACCAGCAAATGTACTAGAAGTTGTCATTTTTCTGGACTCCAGTCATGCTGTGGTGCTGCTGGGAAGAGGAGCCTCGGGTTTATGAGAATTCCTCCGTAAAGTTCCTTGGCATGTTCTACGAAGGATGAGGTGAAGTTGGGGCCCTGGGTGGGCTTGTGGCAGCCAGCAGAGGACCCAGCGCCATGTTCTGAATGGCTTCTGGCCTAGATGGGCTATGTTGGTGCTGAGGCCCCTCCTCTGTTAACTGTGCTCCTCTGTTAGGTTATAGGGGCCACACTCAGTTTGCTGAGCCTTTGGGGAGTTGTGTGGTCCCTGAACTTTGGAGCAGGCAACAGGATGAAGAAATACAAGGGGAGAAGCCGTGCTGCCTGGCCAGTAGTTATACCTTTGTCACTTCCTGGGAGACCAGGAGGGGGCTGTTAGCGTGGGGCACTCACTGGTGTAGAGCAAGTGTGGCCTGAGGGGTCTGCTGTGGTGCTGGCCAGTGCTCATGGCTCTCGGGAGGATTAGTGGACTCCCGAAGCCTTTCCTTATTAGCAAGAGCCTCACCAGAGCTGAGCTGGAGCTGAGCCTCAATGGAGATGGCTGGTATGCGGTGCGGGGGCCTTTCCCCCAGAGCCTGGGGTGGAGGTGCTTTTCTTGGCCTTGACTGGCTAGTGCCTTAAGGGAGTCTCAAACCAGCGTCTCCTGCTTGACAGTGGGTAAACCTGCTTGGCAGAAGCTGCACAGCCTGTGGTTTACTGGGCTAGGAGAACATGCCCCGGGGAGGGAAGCTGGTTTGCACATTGCAGAAAAGCAGGCTGGGGTGGATAGTAATCGAAAGGTGTGGTAGTTTAGAATGATTACTAAGAAACTCCTTTTGTTTGCACCTTGCACTGTACTAGTTTCTAGAACAACAAAAACAGGCGTGCGGTCAGTCGTTTCTCATCAGCTGAGCAGTGGTGTTTCCTCCTAAGTGGTGTGATTGCTTCTGTGTGTGCTTGTCAGCAGGTGGTTTGAAGCTGGCTCCCGTCATGCCCCAAGAAAGCAGGTGTGCCTTCTGTGTGGTGCTCTGCTGACGTGTTCTTGAGACCCGCACATGTGTGTTTAGGACCGTCTGACAGTGTCGTGCTTCCTTGGGGTGAAGTGTGGTGAAGATGGCCTTGCTTTTTAAGGAAAACCAGAAACAAAGCCCCGTTGTTACTGACTTTTGCCTCTTCCTTTTCATCCCTTGCGCTTCCTAAGCCCTGTAGTGGGAGAGCCAGGAAGTGCTGTGCCAGGAGCCAGGTGTCACCTTCATTATCCAGCTACAAATCTTCCAGGACCATTTCTCTGTTAAGGAGAAGCATGTAGGGATAAAAAGAGTTAATATTCTACCTACAAAATGTGGGTGTGGGTCCCTCACTCCAGCCGGTAGCTGGCCCTAGTGCTGGTCTCGTGTGGGGTAGCGGCAGTGGGGGTTACCTGCCCGTGCCCTTGTTTATAAGGAGTTTGATGATAATGTTTATATGAGAGCACTTTTGTTTCATAGTAATTGAAATCCTTTAGTGAGTTAGACCAAGAATGCTTTAGCCCCTTGCCAAGTGCTGTCAGTTTTATTACCTAAATCCTTAGTTTTCTTTTTAATAGATAGGATCTTTCTCTGTTGTCCAGCTGGAGAGCAGTGGTGCAGTCACGGTGCACTGCAGCCTCCAACTCCTGGCTGCAAGCTATCCTTCTTCCTTGGCCTCCTGAGAAGCTGGGGCTGCAGGCCCCACCATGCCTTGCTATTTCTCAAAGCTTTGTTATCTGTCCGCCATCTCTCACATCTTCTCTTTCAGGTTCTATGTGTATCCCAACTGGACTACAGTCCATTAAAAGTTTACTTAGATCTCATCCCTTTACTGCATCCTCTGTCTCCCCCTGCCCCAGCTTATGGAGTGGCCTCCCTTCATGTTTACAGAGTAGCCCCTTCTGCTTACAGAGTAGCCACACATACACCCCATTATGGAGTAGCCTCTCCTGCTTATGGAGTAGCCCCTCCTGCTTGTAGAGTAGCCACACATACACCCCATTATGGAGTAGCCTCTCCTGCTTATGGAGTAGCCCCTCCTGCTTGTAGAGTAGCCACACATACCCCCTTACGGAGTAGCCCCTCCTGCTTACGGAGTAGCTACATACAACCCCTTACGGAGTAGTCTCCCCACTTACAGAGTGGCCACCCACACCCCGTTATGGAGTAGCCCCCCTCCACCCTTTCCCCGCCTGCAGGGCAGCAGTTGCCTCTCCTGTGTTTCTCTGTGGTAGAATGGCTCACTCTGAAGCTGGTGACATGAGGGACAGGCACAGACAGTATCGCATGGATGGCTTCTGTGGCTTCACAGGCAGGATATAAGGGTTGTCTTGTCTGCCCCTTGACTGAGCAAACTGCATGGTGGATACCTTGGTGGGCTGGGCTACCAGGGACTATTAACTATGGCTGGGTCCACATGCTTTCCGGGAAGGCGTGTCCTGAGGGGCAGTGTCTAGAGAGATGCTGGTACCAGGCTTCTTGTCTGGGACTGGGAGTCGGAGGCTTCGCTTCTGCCTGGCTGTCTTGGTTGGAGCAGCTGGATGCCCTCCAAGGTCTCAGGGCATGTGGGTCAGGTGAGGGATGGGCATAGATCCTGCAGACTCCAGCTCTGGATGGCAGGAGTGTGTCAGTATTTGTCACATAGGGTGATCATATAATTTTATCCAAACTGGATATTTGTGAGTGAAAGGGAACTGTCAATAACAAATTGAGCAACAGGCATCCTCTGGGGCTCCTGCACCCACAGGGTTGCCCAGACATCAAGTCGACACCCTTTCTGACCTGACCTGGAGGTGCCTGTGCACTGTTACCTGTGGTCTGGTGCCCAGCAGAGCCAGCTGCATGCCGTGTCCGTTTGCATCCTTCCCCACCTCTCTGATGATCTATTGGCCAGTTCTGTCCCCTACAAGAACTGGCTGAGGTGGCAGCTGCTTTGCAGTCTTTCCTTGGCCCCAGGAGTGACGTTGGTCCTCTCGGTGGGGGGTGTGAGTGCTGCCTCCCAGCTCCCTCAGACCTAGGCCCCAAGGGGAAGGCCACTTGGGGATTTGCCCCAGTATCTCTGCTCTACAGGACTCAAGTTAAAGTACATGAAGTTGGTTTTATATGACTTTAACTTTTAATTTTGTATTTTAATTTTCTTTTAATTTCATATTTTGAGACAGAGTTTCACTCTGTCCCTAGATAGAGTGCCATGGTGTCATAGCTCACAGCAACATCAAATGCCTGGCTCAAGCAATCCTTCTTCCTCAGCCTTTCTAGGAAGGCTAGAGGTTAGGATGACAGTCTCCTGCCACAACACCCAGCTTAATTTAGTATTTTAGATAAACTAAATCCATGGAAGAGTTCTTAAATAGTTTTTGGATAAACGCTTGGCAGGAAACATGTTAATATCTTAGTTCTCTAGAGAGAATGGAGACTAATTCTTCTGATCTGCCTGGTTGAACATATCTACCTTTTGTTCTCAGAGTGGCTCAGTGAAGAGGGGGCCTGAGAAAGGCATGCAGACCCAACTGCCCACCCTGGTCTCCTGCTGGACCCAGCACTCAAGGAAGAGGCGGCTTCAGCAGGTTCAGGGGATAGGGTATGAAGAACTTCCCTACATTTTTAAAGAGATGATTTTATCCTACACTTAATTAAAACAATCAAGTAATACAGAGTGTTTGTATTTAGTGGAATCCTCTTCACCTTGGCAGAGTGGTGGGTGGCAGGGACCTAACTTGCAGTTTGCACGTCGTGGGGCATCTTGGGCAGCCACAGTCCTCACCGTGCAATGAGAGGCTGCTTTGAAGAAAGGGCATTCACAGCTGCTGCTTAGGAGTGCTGAGCTCCATGTTTCTTATTAGGGGCTTAGAGACTGAGCCTAATTATCCCTTTTACCTTCCAGATGTCAAAACAGAAGGTAAAACTTGAGGTTGAGAATTCAGAGGGTTAGAACCAGTGTCTGAGAGAAAACCCACTGTCCTCTTTGTTCGGCTGGACTCCAGTGTGGGATGTGGGGCCATAGTACTGGGAAGGGAGGGTGGCCTTGCAGGCACCAGGTCATAGTCGGGGCAAGCAACAGAAACAAATGAGACTTCAGAATAAAAACTTTAGTTCCTTTCCTTCATGTAGCTTTTGTCCTTTGTGTCTTCATGCATGGATGATTTAAACCCCTAGACATTGCCTTTTCCTAGGCTAGTGCCTTGTACTTCAGTGGGTATG